TTGGAATCACAAGGCGAAATCTCGCACGATGCTTGCCTTAAAAAAAAAAAGAAAAAAAAAACACAATCTTTGAAAACACCAGAAGACACTCTACCTTTCATCGTCTCCGTTATATAAACGTTTTCTGGATCCCGCACGGCGCCAACAAAAGGGAATTACAGATTTTCAAAGAGAAATTAATTCCCAATCAGTGCGAAGTGTGGCCTCGATTTGGATCTTTCGCCTCGTTTTCATTGTTTTGAGTTCAAGATTAAGTTAATAGGATTTCCGGTGAATAATCTAATATTTTCTGGAAAGGGCCTCCCCATGGCGAGGTGATTGACTGCTTACAAAAGAAAGACTACGATTCGCGAGTTGTTGGAAAATCGGGGATTTTATTAGTTTTCCCTAGTAATACTAATTTGAACATTGTACAAAACAAGGGTAAAAAACGATATTAATTCAATTATCTATCTGCGCGTGAGTTTCCATTATTTTGTATTTATTTTTTGGACGTGTATTGACTGATGCTGTGTGACAGACTAAGAAAGTCTACGCTTATTTATCAATGTGGTAGGAATAACTGGATATGTTTTTGATTTTATTTATCTATGCAGTGTCTTGATAGTTTAAGGTGACTTTTGATATTAAATGTTTTATGTATATGTTAAAGTATTGTCCGTATAATGGTTTATTTCCTTTTCTATATGCAGGCGTTGAATATACGGGTATGAATGGGTCTGAGGAAATAAGATTAGGATAGCAAAAAATAGAAAGAAAAAAGATAAAAAAATAAAAAAACAATGGACTATCTCCCAAAGAAAATAAAATAGGAAATAAGGTTAAAATATTCAAGCGAAATGTTACGATCGAAACCAAGTAGAAAAAAGCGGGGTAAGCATTGAGTATAAAAAGGTGGGGGGGATGGATGAAATGATCAGGAGTGGAAATAAAAATGGCAGAAGTCATCCAGAAGAAATGTTAACGAGAATAGATCAAAGACAAACAAAAGAAAAACAGAAGGAGAAAGTACAGAAAAGAATAAACGAAATGATTAAAGAAAGAATTAAGTTAAAAAAAAAAAATGAAGAAAAGAAATGAAACATTAAAGGAACACAGGAGGTGAAAAGACAGACGGGAAGATGCGTAAAGATTGCGAGATAAAATGGTAGTAAGCAAAATAGGATCAGAAGAATAAAGGTTGCCAGAAAGGAATGATGTAAGGTGTTGTAACCTAGAGAAGGTTATTGAATAGAATGATCAAAGTTTGATGATGAACGATAATACTTAGGACAAGAACAACACATATAAGATTCGCCAGTGGTATAATGGTTAGAAAGATTGACTTTCTAGATGAATTATGACAAAGTAGTGAGTTCGATTCTCACTTGGTACCTCATACTTTTAGCCTCGTGCCACATCTAAGCCGCGCTTAGAAAATCACTATATTTTTGGCCTTGTGCCACTTCTATGCTACGCTTAGAAAATCAATATAAGATTCTCCAGCGGCGCGTAGAAGTAGTGAACTGTTAGAAGTGAGTCTAGTAAATTCCACAATGAATCTCCAACTGCAGGATAACTACCAACCGCCTCACGCGGTCAGATGTGGCACAAGGCTGAATTTAATGTGGGATATCCGAGCCCGTGGGTCACGTATAAAACGGGGTCGTGTAGCTGTTTCCCGAGACGAGATTCTTCCCCTCGACCAGCATAGAGTATTTACTACTGTATTTATGTGAATGCGGACACACCTATTATCGTCCGTACGTATGCTACGACAGAAGGAAAAATCGAAAAGTTTGGACGAAGAAAAGGACGATAGGCCGGAAAGAATAAGGAGGAGGCTGAAAGAAATGCTAAACTGAACCAAAGAATGGTAAAGAGTGAATAATGGAAAAGATAAAAGGAAAGAACTTATTAAGAAAATGTTAGAATTAAAAAGTTAATAATACAAAGGAAAATGGATGGACTAAGAAAATAATAATGGAAAAGAGACAAAATAGAAAGACACCAACAAATGATGTACTGACGTAAAGAACGATTGTTTTTAGGAATTACTTTCTTTGTTTTAACCGTGACAAAGAGTATTCCGTTTCCAATATTCTTTGAAGACTAAGTCGTACATTTTGGTAACAAATTCAGTAATGGACGAGAGCAATGGTTCCTAAATAGAGCCACGAAAGAGGATAGCAGATGAAGCGAAATAAATCAAAGATTGAGAAACAATTCAAAAAGTTAATATACCAAATATATATACGATTTCAAAATTTGAAATGTTACTGTGGATTACTAGTAATTTCAAGAGTCCCAGTATAAATAGTTATAAATAATTATTGGCGCTTTTATCATTGTGATATTTTTGTATTATATCAAGTATTAAGAATATAGTAACTAGGGTCTGCAAATTGGAGGAGAGAGTTATTAATGATTATGTTCTGACGTTGCATTCGCGGTTATCTCCCTTTAACCTTCTCTCCTTTTTTATTTTTAAATGTACTTTTTATCACATAAAATTCGGTTAGGCGCGAAAAAATTTTCAATCCTAAAATGCGGCCCATAGATAAAAGTCTGAGAGCCACTGGACTACAGATTGACTTAGTACTGTACTAATCGACTTGAAAGTGACTTAACAGAAAACAGTAGGAAATAAAGGTAGGCTTTCCCTACCACTTTGAAAGCGTGCTAAAATAGACTGCATATAAAATATTGAGGGGTATTTTCCGCCAACAAACACATTATATTTGGAATTAAGAGCTGTTTTCCATATAGTTAGTAAAGCTGCGTGAATATAGGGGTTTTTCTAAGGGCAACTTAGATGTAGCACTAAGACGAAAGTATGGGGCGTCCAGTGAGGATCGAACTCGCTATTCAGTCGTAATTGTTCTATCGATATATGCTAGCTAAACATTACGCTAATTCGAGCTCTCAAAAAGATGTGTGTATATGGTACTATAATTTCATATAGTATTTATATCTATCGATGAGAATGATTTCTTGAATTATAAAAAGCTATTCGTTTATTAGTGTCAAATATGGTGAAGGGAGAGTTGAAACACAACGACCGAACTCTATCAATGTCATTCTCACGAGTGGATCAAGTTTTTCGGACCTGATTGGTTGAAAAATTACTTTCTTTGGATTTTTGCTAACACCACTGGAAGTGATGTGCGGAGCCTAATGCGTAGTGGAAGTGTAATTATTCCTGTCTGGTTATAATGGAAATATGAATATTAAATGAAAACTGATAACTGACCAGTGAATAAAAATATAAGAGTAAGGTAGTCCAAGAGACAGATGAAATGAGAGAAACAGATGCTTAAAGGAAAAGAAAGCATTAACGTGGTTCCCCAACACGGAAAGTCCAACACTGAAATCCGAAGGCGCATTTGGATACCGACACATGCCTTCTAAAAGCTAAGCAATGTATTAAGAATAAAAAAAATCGTTAGATACAAAGAAAAGAATATTGAACTGTTACGTAATATCTGTCCGCCTATACGGCAGCGAATGCTGAACAGTCTACACACAGATGACGAAGTGACTTGAACTAACTTATAAACTGTTCTACAGAAGGATGCTGAGAATACAATGGACTGAACATTTGAGCAACAAGAAAGATTTAGAGAAAATGGAAGCAAGAATAACACTTATAAGCAACACCAGGAACAGGCATTTGGAATTTCTAAAGTACATAATGAGAAAAGAGGGCTTGGAATATATGATACCCACAGTACAGATTGAAGACAAGAGGACAACAATATATAACTTACCTAACAAGCTTGAGTAAATGGATGGTGGAACAATATATAAAAGAAATAAGAAAGAGCCAAAATTTATTAAGTGCTACAAAGAACAGAAAATTGTGGAGAGCCACAGTCGCCAACGTCCTCAAAGAGGATCGTCACACAGAAGAAATGTAGAATAAAGTAGAAATGTGGGAAATTTAGCGACTCCCGAATGTGTTGCGACAGATCAACAAAACACGAGAAGATTGAATAGTTTAAAAAGCCAAGCTTTATATACGTAATACATTATACAACGAGAATGAGAAGAGAGAATTGCTAAACGTATTGCTTTAGCAGTTAATGTCATGGCATCGAACCGGAAATCCAAAATATATGCATCTGATTGAAACAGTTATGTGATATTGATCATATTCTTCCCCCGATTACTGCTTGTCCTTGCATTATTCAGGTTTGCTCATAGTCTGCATCGCCTGTCTCTGGAGTACGCTAAAACATATCCGTCCATCTTGTTGACCTTGAAGCCTCTCATCATTGGCGCCTAAAATCTCTTTGGCATCTAAAATTGGTTCTTATCCATTATTATCGCCGCAAAATTATTAAATGCAGAATATGCCCGTCCACTGCCGATCGCGTCCAATACGGTATCAGCTGTAAGACAGAATGCAGGGTCAACAAAAGGGCTCAAGATTTGAACCAGACGTTGGAGACGTGAATATCTGAGCAGTGGGGACATCGAAATATATAACACAGAACTTCGAAAGGACATGGAATTCACGAAAGATGTCTTGCAGAAATTAAATATTAAGTATTAAATATCATAATATATCTTTAGAAACAAGGAAAATAGTGCTGAACTGTAGGGTAATATGTAATTTCCTATATGGCAGCCAATGCTTACAGATGAAGTGGTTTGAAGCGAAAGATGTCGCTGTCGGCGAATGCTAAGAATATCTGCCAATAATGTAGTCTAAACGAAAATATGGAAAACGAAGGTAAACGTACAATAAGAATGACATAGTTGAAATCTCTGGGACACTTTATGGGAAAGGAGCCAAGAGAATTTAACGCTGAAGACATGTTGAGACGAGAGAAGAAAAGGGTAACCTCGAAAAGCTTAAATGAGTTTGTGAAGAGGGGGCAGAATAGAGAGAGAGGGGGGATAGAAAATGTTCAAGATTTAATTAGATCAACAAATGACAATAAGTTATGGAGGGCATGAACATTTATATCCTGAACGATCCTGCTTTATAAAAAAAAAAAAGGGCGAAATTAAAGCTAAGGAAGGAAAGAAAATTGTAATGTTAAAAGAAGACAATGAATAATGAATAGAAGGAAAAAAGGATGAAAGAAAAGGAATGAAAAGGAAAGGAAAAAGAAATGAAAGAAAAGGAATGAAAAATGAAAGGAATGAAAAAGGAATGAAAAATGAAAGAAAATGAAAAATGAAAGAAAATGAAAAAGGAATGAAAAATGAAAGAAAATGAAAAAGGAATGAAAAATGAAAGAAAATGAAAAATGAAAGAAAATGAAAATGGAATGAAAAATGAAAGAAAATGAAAAAGGAATGAAAGAAAATGAAAATGGAATGAAAAATGAAAGAAAATGAAAAAGGAATGAAAGAAAATGAAAATGGAATGAAAAATGAAAGAAAATGAAAAAGGAATGAAAGAAAATGAAAATGGAATGAAAAATGAAAGAAAATGAAAATGGAATGAAAAATGAAAGAAAATGAAAAAGGAATGAAAAATGAAAGAAAATGAAAATGAAATGAAAAATGAAAGAAAATGAAAGAAAATGAAAATGGAATGAAAAATGAAAGAAAATGAAAAAGGAATGAAAATGAAAAAAAATGAAAATGAAAAAAAATGAAAATGGAATGAAAAAATGAAAAAAAATGAAAAATGAAAAGAAAATGAAAAAAGGAATGAAAATGAAAAAAAAAGGAATGAAAAATGAAAGAAAATGAAAAAGGAATGAAAAATGAAAGAAAATGAAAAAGGAATGAAAAAAGAAAAGTGAAAGAAAAGGAATGATAATAGAAAAAATAAAAGAAAAAGAATGAAGAAAAGGTAAAGCGAATAAAAGTAAGAGGGAATTAAAAGAATGTACAAAAATTGGAAGAGTATAAATAAATGAAAATAGAACGGAAAGAAGGAAATGTAGAAAATACTGGAGGTAAATGAAGATAAGAAAACAGGTGGAAAGAAGACAAAGATGGATGAAAAATGGAAGGAAAGAATGATCTGATTATGAGAAAGGCAGCAGTTTTTGTTTTTTTTTTTTTGTTTAAGTAGGAAAAAGAACCAGTGATGGTTAATGAGATGTTCTAAATAAGAGAGCAAACGAATTTAAGGTATGTTTTTTTTGTTTGTTTTGATGATTAAAATGTAATAAAGATATATAAAAAAAAATCGGGAATAAAATAAAAAAAAAGTAGAAAAAAAGTTTTAAAGATAGAAATAGTTTGAGCTAGAAACAAAATGGTGAGAGGTTTTGATGAAAAGAAATCTGTCCGAATAAGAACGTAAAAAAGGAACAAAATAAATGCTGATTACATGTGAGAACGGAAGATAGTTTTAACGAAATGAAAGAAAGGAAAGAGTGACTAATGGATGAAAATTCGATTAAAAGGCTATCTAATGGGAGGAAAACAGAAAGACAAACTGGATTTTTAAAAAACGTCTGATGGAATTCATGTGTGAGGCACATCGATCATAATATGATGATTTCACTATGCGGGTGTTCTTTTTCTTTCTTTTTTTTTCTTTTTTTACAAATTAGATTCTTTGATTTTAATCAAATATTCATGATGTTTTTAATATGTGAATTTTACGTGGGTTGTAAACACTTTCAGGCAAGAGGGTATACATAGCTAGCCCAAAAGACAGATTAAACTAATGAAATAAGATTTAATTAAGAAGAAGAAAAAAAAGGCGGAAATAAAACTAAACAAATCAAGAAATTAACGGTGAAATTTAACTCCATCTTTAAAAAAAAAAACAATATTTGATTAACAAAGTAGAAGAGTGATTGATTTTGTTAATATTTCGATAATGTTCCGAAGATTATGTGAATGAACGACGAAATATTAACAAAATCAATGACACCTCTTTGTTAATGAAATATTGACTATTTTCGCATGCACGATTTTTGTATCTTTTCATCTTTTGAAAATGTTCTCGGGGAAAAAAAGTATTTGAAAGAAAGCGGAACAAAAGAGGAGCGAAAATCCGAACGAAGAAAAAAAAATTATAATCCGTAGAGGAAATAAAGATTAAATATCATGTCTGCACGTTCCAAAGCTTTCTTTTCTCTCTCTCTCTCTCTCTCCTTCAACTACCTATTACCTCTTTATCTCAGATTGTTACCCACTCTGAAAAAGACCGTTCATATATCTCTCACAGTTCCGCTCTCATGTATATATATATATATATATATATATATATATATATATATATACACGGTGTCTATCATAAAATGTACACTTTCTTTTAAACTTAATAACTCAAAAGCGAAAGATTTGCAGAAATATGTATATATTGGCATTGCTTTGGTGTAAGAAACCCGCCCCAAATATTGTAAAATTATTTTTGTTACACACTATCTCTCTTTCTCTCTCTCTCTCTCTCTCTCTATATATATATATATATATATATATATATATATATCTGTTTATCCGTAAGTTTATTTATCTATCAATCAGTATTTCTCTCTGTTGCTCTGTTTTCCCATATCGATCTCTTTATCTACGTCTCAAGTAGAGGATATCGACTGAATCTGACAGAATGATTAAATAATGAAAAACAAGAAAAATCTCATGAATTTAACGTGTTTCGCTATTTACTTAACATCATCAGAAATAAGTGTGGAAGTTATTCGAATTTTTCAAATTTGTTTTGCTTTTATTGGTTATGTAGACATCCCGTTCACATTTCATGGAGTTAATGCGCGTGTGTGTGCGTGCGCCTATAGCAGTGTAATTCATCGGCAATTCCAAATGTCCATCTTATAATCTTTCTTCTGCTAAACTGAACTATTAGTAATCAGACAGCTTTTATACAGAGTGGTTAGTATTGAAATAGCTTCGGTCGGGATATTTCATTATTACTCCAATCAGCAATTTGTGTGTACCTGATGACGTGTATTCGGCTTTAATTCTTGTGTTGCGAGCGTTATATATCTCTGTCTGTCTCCATCTTGTTTGGTATGTAGTGTCGAATTGTTGGAGGCTTAATAAAGACCCGTTCTAATTTAGAACAATTTAGTTTTTTTTTTTTTTTTTTAATTAATTTTTGTAGAATGGACGAGTAACGACATCCTTGTCATAAAACAGTGATAAACTGTTTCGCAACTTTGATACAAAGCATTAATCAATTGGTTAACAAGTGACTGATGTTACTGCAGATTCTTTGAAGTCATTGAATCAAGCTAGATTATTATGGATTGAAAGGAAAACGAGCCAAGAACCATAATTATTTTCATACATGTTTTTTTTTTATTTATTATTACTTTTTATTTTCTTATGAAGTAGAATATATTTTACCTTGTAAATCCTTTGATTAGTATGCTGATTTTCTAAACGTTGCTTAGATCTGGCACAAGGCCGAAAGTATGGGTCACCCAGCTAGGATGACTATTCAATCGTAATTGATCTAGCGAGACAAGCTTGCTAAACATTACGCCACATCGAACTGCCCAAGATTCTTTTATTACTGTAAAGAAATTTTAGAGAAGTAAACAGGCACGTGAGATCTTTCAGAATCAGTTTGACAGGGAAGATGTCTTGATGGTTTGCCTACAGTCTAATCTGAATTACTCTGATAGCTACAATACCTGTCTATATTTCTGTGATGAGTTATTACAATTATATATACTAATTATATTGTTCGGTCTGTTGCCCTTAGCTTTGTTGAAATATTCACTACGTTTCGGTCGTCGTATGCTCCAGCCCTCAGGTGGCTGAAATTTCGAACCGAACCCTTTAATTCGTCTCTCGGACTAGATTGTTCTAGTTCCACCTGCCACGCCTCTTCTGGATATTTGTTACAGTTAATTCCTCTTAGTAACTCAACTCTCCAAGCAAGATTTTTATTTTTTTCTTTTGTTTTCTTTTCCCTTTTTTTTTTTTGGGGGGAGGTCGTTTTTTTTTGTTTTTTTTTTTGCCCCTGCTGTGGTCAGGTATTGAATTCACGGCTTATTTGTTGATTACTTCCACCAACGCTTTTATCCACTCTGTTGATTACTTCAACAGCAAAGGGTTACAAAAAAAATTGGGGAATAGAGTTAAATGGTAATACCTGAAACTGAGATATCCGGCAGAGGCATGGCACGTGGAACTAGAACAATCTACCATGGTGGACGAAATAAAAGGGGTTCGGTTCGAAATCCTAATCACCTGAAGAAGGCCGGAATGTTGTGAATATGGCCACAAAGAGGAAGACAACAGTTCGAACAATATAAATAGTGTAAATAGTCTGGTAACTAAGTACTTCTTTTTTCTTTTTAACACAATGTTTACACTTGGAAATAGATGCTATTTGAAGTAGTTTAAATGTTTTATGACGGATCTTCATTATTAATGATTTAAAGACTTTAATTTTTTAATTTTATTCCTGGTGAATGTGAGAATTCATTTCTGTTATATAATGTGTGTTGGAATAAAAACAAAAGGAAAACGTATCTTCGCCTAGGAGTTTCGTTTTCTAAGGTACTTTATCATGACAAATGCATTTACATTGATAAAGTCCCCCAGAGAACGACTCGCATGGGCTAAGGTAAGTTTCCCTTTTGTCTTTATTCATATTGTCCTCTTACAGATGCAGTATATCTTAAATTTTTACACGTTTACAAATCTTACTCTCCGGGCTTCAAGTTAGTCAAAAAACCTACAATAGTATAAAAAATATCTTCATTCTTATCGCCAATATTATTTTATTCGTCAAATTTCAATAAACGACCTTTTAAATCTAATATATACACACGCACACATCCTTACACAGAAATAAAGTGTCGCTGCCGACACTTGAGTTTGAACAGAGATCGCCAGTGAGCAAACACAGGCGTTCCCATTATTGAATTAAGTAGACCATATGACCATAGAGAAAACGCATTGTACTTTATCCTCTTTTACTATACGGACCGCTAGTCTCTACTCTATCCACAATACTATTTCTCTATACGAATTACTTTTCGAGCGAGAATTATCGTGTAAACACTATTAGTGCGAGTGCTATTCGAAGGCGTCCGTCAACAGCATTGTTCAACGGCGTACTATAGTTTTATCTGCGATTACAAAGTCTCTACTACAACAAGCATTACCAAAGTGACAACGAGTATTTGTTGACATCACAAAAGTGTCAAACGAGTGTTTGTTTGAGTCACTAAACACACACACACACACACACACACACACACACACACATATATATATATATATATATATATATATATATATATATATATATATTCGGGTAGAATGGAGATCAACGTGTTTTAGTGGACTCAGCAATTTTCAATGTGCTTGTGTAAATCATCTTCAAGAAATGAGAGCAAGTTCTAAAAGGTCAGCCAATGTAACAGTGATCTCATCTCACAATCCTCACACATGCTCCATATGTGGCCTCCTTTGTAAATCACTAGCGGGTGTTAAATGCCACTTAAGATTATCGCACAACATTTCATAACTGAATCACTAAGCTGTCAGATACGTCAAAACCGACAGGAGAGACCATTTATATATATATATATATATATATATATATATATATATGCTCTGCAGAATTGTATTGAGCACTGTTGTTTTTTTTTAAATAAAAATAATTAATAAGAACACCGAATTATAAATTTTACTGTTCTTTCTCTTATATATATGATGATAATAAAAACGATATACATTCCTTACCTTGAACAAATTGTCATGTTGGCACCATCTTCTGTGCATTTACTTACCATTGTTTACTGAGTGTTCGTAAAAATGATATGCATTATGAAATAAAGGGTTCACTTCGACATGCCAACCAAATGAAGAAGGCCGAAGTGTACAAAACGTTGTAATAAATACGGCTACAAAGAGGAGGACATTAGTCCGAATAATGTAAATGGTATACATAATACCTCATCTCAGAAATATAGACAGATTCCAACATGTTTTATAGTTACAGCTACTCAAAAGGCTGGCTTAGACAATTTTCGAAATGTCTAATACAGTTTATATAGTGTCGACTTAGAAGGATGAAAGATCCTATTTTGCTTTTGAAAAATGAATTTTAAGATATTTCATTGCGTATACGTTGATATTTGCTTTAAGTTTCCATTGCATAGGATGATTAACATTATTCACCTCCTTGAATTGCTTTGAATTCTGTAATTGCTTTAAATTCTCGCAGAATATTTTCCACTAAATCGTGAATTGAAAAGGTCAGTTCAGCAGGTTTCTCAAAAATTGACTTTTTTTTTACAATTGAAACCTCCCTATTGACTTACGCAAGAAAAGAGCAATTTCTTTTTCATTTCTTTTGTTATGCCGGCAGCTACATATTTCTCGTCGGACTCAGGCCAAATTAACTCTTTCGTATTAGGCAACGTTTAATAAAATCTACACAGGAAATATTTGTCCAATTCAGGCTATTTCTAATTTTTTTCAACTATTTTTTTTCATATACCATTACGAGAGGCCTTTTGTTTTGAGATCATTTAAATTGACAACTAAATATTGGTATGTCTTTCATTGTTTTCATTTAGAACATCCTTTATAATTTTGTTGGACACGGCAGCCAGATATTTATTGGGTAAAGACAATCTGAACCTGGGATTATTCTTCCCATAAAGAGTATCACTCTTGCTTTTTCTCGCAATAGAAATACATGGCATTTACCCATAAAATTCTCATAGCAGCCGTTTATTTATGAGGAAATATTTGGTATTCATTGAACGACTGTTGAAATTTATAAAGTCTTTCTATTAAAATTAAAGTCTGAAGATAATAGATTTCTCAAGTTCAGTAACTGTTATCAATTTTTTTTATCGATTTTTTTGTTAGGTCTCTTCCTTTTCGATTTCATTCTATAAAGGTTCTTCCTTTTTCAGTATTTCATTGGCTGTTAGGTCTCTTCCTTTTCAGTATTTCATTGGCTGTTAGGTCTCTTCCTTTTCAGTATTTCATTGGCTGTTAGGTCTCTTCCTTTTCAGTATTTCATTGGCTGTTAGGTCTCTTCCTTTTCAGTATTTCATTGGCTGTTAGGTCTCTTCCTTTTCAGTATTTCATTGGCTGTTAGGTCTCTTCCTTTTCAGTATTTCATTGGCTGTTCGATCTCTCGCTTTTACTGTTGAAATTACTAGATGTAACCTTAAGTTCTGTGCCAAGCCTAATAATTTCTTCTCTGGCATTTCTCATCTCTGGAAGTGGCTTCAGCTTCTTTTCCTGCTCAGTACAAACTTTTAAAAATAAAATACAAAGCCAGTCATCTTTTTCCGTCTCCTTGATCTCTCGTCTTTTATTGTCCTCGCCCTCCTTAAAAGTGTTTTTTTTCAGTATCGGTAACATCATTGCGCCTCAGTGGGTTCATCGACATGCCTGGGGGTCAAATGATTACGAAAATATTAATGGGTGTATTAATATGATCAGATATAACTTTAGCAGTAGTTGAAAATAAATGCGACACAACTTTCTGAACAAAAATATATATTATCATTATTAATGACACGGCCATCTGTCGTTAATCCCGCTGAGAGAATATGCTGCAAATAATCCCCCCCCACGAAAATCAATCAATATCGCGGCTGATTGATTTATGCCCGACTGAATCGCTTATTTAGATAATGAGGTAGAAGGTCAAATCATTCTTATTGTTAGTCAATCGTCGTCTGACAGGTTCAATTTCTGCACAGAGTCTATGAATTCTGAATATCATTCAGTTGAGCGGTTTGATTGGCAAGACCACCTGTTAATAATGAACGTTGTTATGAGATCTTGCTCTACAATATCAACATTTCTAGGCCAGGAAACACGATATAATGCAAAAGAAAAGAAGTTGCAGAAAAGAATAATACAAATGCACATTAGATGAATACAATTTCACATATATATATATATATATATATATATATATATTTATATATATATATATATATATATATATATAAAAAGAAAGATAGTATATATATAATCCGGTGTTCTTATAGATATTTTTATTTTTACCAAATAGTGCTCAATGTAAATTTACAGAGCATTAATATTTGTAACCTTGGAAACATGAATTATGATTTTAGCTGTGTCTTTAAAACGCAGTAATTTTAAAAGCTACTCCAAAATTCGCTTGAGGATGAAATTGAACTAATGTCTTTAATTTAATTACAAAATTAAATTCGGGGCTTTTAGCTTCCATTTTTGAAACATGGTTAGAACTGTGTAGCGGAAAAAACATTTTTTAAATCAATTTATAAAATATATATATAATTCAATAGAGAATTAGTAGACAAGGAAAGAAAGAAGAGTTTCAATGTTAACCATGAGAAACCTTATATAACAAACCTCATTTAAGGAAAAAGTGTCCGCTGGGTAGATTGTCACCATTTTATATTTTTAATTTCACTTGTTCTGAAATTAGTTTTGAAAGTCATTTATTCATTGATTTTTTTTTTCTGAGGTTTTTTATTTCTTCATATCAAGTATAATGTCGCTGAACGAGTTGTAACTTTTCAGCCATTATACGCCTTTTAACACCAGCAACAGACATTTCAACTTTCTAGCGCCCATAATGAGGAAAGGGGGCTTAAAGATTGGAAAATCAGAGGGACAGATTGACGGCATGATGGAAAGAGGAAAACTATGCGTAACCTACCAAGCGAGATTGAGTACATGGATGGTAGAATAGGATTTAGGTAAGATATCCAAAAGATAAAAGAATTTTAAGAGCTGGAAAGGAAATTGTGGAGAGCCATGTTTACCAACGTCTTGTCGTTAGACGACATATAGAAGAAAAAATATTGGTTTGTGTTAAACAGCTTAAGATAGTTTTAATGTAACTATTGCAACTGTTGTATAGTGTCTTTTTACTACACGGGATCAATAGTCCGCTTCCTCTCATTCTTGGGGTACAGTGTAACCTGGATATAAGAGACCGGGATATAAGAGATTTTCTCTGGTCCCAAATAAGAGCCTGTGTTAATGTATATAAATTAGACGAAACCCGGATATAAGAGAGATTTTCTCTGGTCCCGAATTAGAGCCTGTCTTAATGTATATAAATTAGACCAAACCCGGATATAAGAGAAACCTGGATATAAGAGAGATTTTATCTGGTCCCAAATAAGAGCCTGTGTTAATGAATATAAAATAGACCAAACCCGGATATGAGACATCTTCTCCGGTCCCGACAACTGTCTTATATCCGGGTTACACTGTATGTTAAGTTGACCCGTATGTGCGTGAATTGGACGAAATCTTAGCACGTGTGACCTATGTACGAATTTATTTTATTTTGCTTTTTTTTTTTTATTGAATGTTAGTCTTGGAGATACAATCTTCGAAAAGACATGAGGATTCATAAACGACATTGTTTTCATAGTGTGGTTATGAATACGGGTTCTGATCAAAAAGTATCGGGACTGGTGCTGTAAAAAATAAAATGGCTGCATACGGCATTCAGTCGTAATTAAAGTGCCCTTCGAAAGCCACACACTTCATACATCGTCGTTTCCATTAATAGAAGCATTCCTGGAAGTTTTTTTTTTTCTGACAACGAGCAACTTACTCGTTGCATTCTCTTAGATTTCCTTCCTCGACGTTTTGAAATCTCTTTCCTTTCAAGTGGGATTTGAGTTTTGTAAAGAGAAAAAATGTCGCAGTGGTCGTGATCTGGGGAGTATGGCTGTTTTCGTGCCTGGGGAATGTTGCGCTTGACCCAAAACATGTGCACAAGCCGTGATCACCGAGGGAAACTGTGTCGTGAGCTGACCATAATCTGTACATATCCAAGCACAGATGTAAACACCCGAAACGAGCGAGAACCTTATATATAGAGTCCAAGATCTATCTGTGCCCAGACACTTCACTCTGCGTACTTCAGTTCCGTTACCATAAAAACAGTCCCTGTGTATGTATATATATATATATATATATATATATATATATATATATATATATATATTCTCTCACGGACACGCCGTCGCCTCTCTCTGTCTTTTCTACAAATACTTTCATGGTAATTGCTCCGATGAGCTGCTTTCACTGGTTCCCAGACTCCATGAATTCAAGCGCCCTACGAGGCTGGCATCCCACTCCCACAATTACACTGTAGAAACTTTTAAATGTAGCCGTCTCTTCTACTCCAATAGCTTCATACCTCTCGCCTGTGGAACACCCTTCCCAATTACTGTTTCCCTGAGAGCTATAATCTCGAACTATTCAAATGTAATGTCAATCGATACGTCCAATTACCTTGATCTACCCACTATCCTTCTCATTTTTTTCTTCTATCTCTCCTATCTGCTCTCGCTCCAAATCTTCTGCAAGCCCTTGCATCCTAGTGGCTTTACGCCTTGCTCGGGGCGTAATGTTAAAAAAAAATTATATATATATAGTCATCCACATGCATTCCTGTTTCGGTGTATCACAGCGCATAGGTGTAGATAGATATCCGATTGCTTCAAGCCGAGATCGAAACTAGACCTATTTGGCCTAAGCTATTGGCAAACGGCAGAGAAAGTAAATATTTTAACACATTATATACGTGATGTATTCAAACGCCAAATCAGTAGCCAAGAGTGCTCAATTCATAACTGAAGAGCTGTGTGTGCGGTTGTATAGAACGATAGAAAACTAGTTAGTAAAGAAAGGAAAAAGAACTAAAGCCTTTGGGAAAGTAAGAACAATATCGATTGAAAGAAAGAAATACTGAATACAGAACTAAAGGAACGAAATTGGAAAGGAATACTGACTTCATTACTAGAAAAGAAAAAACAGAAGAAATTGGTAGAAGCAGAACTTTCAGACTAAAAAAAAATGGATAAGACACAAGAAAACAAACGAATCATGATCTTAAAATTTTTCTTCGATGCAGTTTTTCGTGATTTCTTCGAGTCACGGCATATACTTACATAAACCACTTTCGTATAATAAAGAATCGTCATTCTGTGCGTACTCGAACATGCGTCACCCCCACACACCACTGCACCTTTATAAATCTATCAAGATCTAAAACTCTCTATGAATGCTTATGTCTACTAAGATATAATTTATTTTAATGTTCATGAAGGAAACATTTGTGCAAGTTACGTCTGAAAGCGTAAAAACGGTAATTTGTGTTCAAGAAAAGATAGACGTACTTCTCCATGTAATCTTGCCAACTCAAAAAAAGGCGTGCAGACCAGCCGACATGAACAATCTCTTGGCAAGTCTATACAAACGAACAACATGAGAGCAACGTAAACAGATGAGAAATTATTTGAATTATACATAAACTATTACCATATTCAATCTTAGGTGAGTCTAAGTTTTTTTTTCCGTCTTTTTATATAATCTCTTTCTTGGTCTAAGCTCTCCGATCGCTTCAAGAAAGTAGCATGGAATTATCTCCTCGATAAAGTTTGAATTAGCATTGCATATCTCGAGAGCTCGTCTTTCGTGAACTGCGCCTTAACCAATCCGGGAATTAAAGCTTATAGTTAGATTTCTCCAGTTATTCAGTGTCTAGCTTCTTTTTTTTTTTTTCATAATTGATGGTCTAGCCTTCATTTTATAGTGGACAGAACATTCATGTTCCACACATTTTCCTGGTTCCTCAGATCACATTTACAAGCATAAAAGAAAATGGTCTAAAATTTACAGGGATAGTTTTAAGTTGATGTAAGGTAATAGCGAGGAGGAAGACAACAGATATGGTCTAAAACAGAGAAGGAAGGGAGAGATAATATACAATCAATGAATCCTTAAGGTTGTCTGTTTTTTAATTTAAATAATATTCGCTCTGTTTTTAAATTGAGCTCTCTAAATTATATCCTCCTTGGGATTATCCATACGGATTACCAAAAATTTCTATATCTATCTATCTATATCTATCTATATCTGTCTATATCTATCTATATCTGTCTCTATCTATCTATATCTATCTATATATCTATCTATCTATCTATCTATCTATATCTATCTATATATCTGTCTATATCTGTCTCTATCTATCTATCTATCTATATCTGTCTATATCTATCTATATCTGTCTCTATCTATCTATCTATATCTGTCTATATCTATCTATATCTGTCTCTATCTATCTATCTATATCTGTCTATATCTATCTATCTATATCTCTATCTATCTATCTATATCTGTCTATATCTATCTATATCTGTCTCTATCTATCTATCTATATCTGTCTATATCTATCTATCTATATCTGTCTATTCTATCTATATATCTATCTATCTATCTATATCTATCTATATCTGTCTATATCTATCTATATCTATCTATCTATATCTGTATATATCTATCTATAATCTATCTATCTATCTATATCTGTCTATATCTATCTATATCTATCTATATCTATCTATACATCTAATAAATCTATCTATATCTGTCTCTATCTATCTATCTATATCTGTCTCTATCTATCTATATCTGTCTCTATCTATCTATATCTGTCTCTATCTATCTATATCTGTCTCTATCTATCTATCTCTGTCTATATCTATCTATCTCTGTCTATATCTATCTATCTCTGTCTATATCTATCTATCTATCTCTGTCTATATCTATCTATCTATCTCTGTCTATATCTGTATCTATCTATCTCTATCTATATCTATCTATCTATCTGTCTATATTATAATTAACATTTCTATCTATCTATCTCTGTCTATATCTGTATCTATATTCTATCTATATCTATATCTATCTATCTCTGTCTATCTATATCTATATTTATCTATGAATATCTATATCATCTATCTATCTATCTATATCTGTCTATCTATCTATCTATATCTGTCTATCTATCTATCTATATCTGTCTATCTATCTATATATCTATCTATCTATATATGTCTATCTATCTATCTATCTATCTATCTATATCTATCTATCTATCTATATCTATCTATCTATCTATCTATATATCTATCTATCTATCTATATCTATCTATCTATCTATATCTATCTATCTATCTATATCTCTCTCTATCTATCTATATCTATCTATCTATCTATATCTATCTATCTATATCTATCTATATCTATCTATATCTATCTATATCTATCTATATCATATCTATATATATCTATCTATCTCTATATATCTATGTCTATATCTATCTATCTATGTCTATATCTATCTATCTATCTATGTATATATCTATCTATCTATGTCTATATCTATCTATGTCTATATCTATCTATGTCTATATCTATCTATGTCTATATCTATCTATCTATGTCTATATCTATCTATCTATCTATGTCTATATCTATCTATCTATCTATGTCTATATATATATATATATATATATATATATATAGTTTTATGGATATGAGTGTGTGACCCTGGGTTTCACGCTTTTGCGATCGTCAGACTCAGGAAAACTGGCTCATTTTTTTTTAAAATTGGATCTATTTATGCTTGTGTGAGTGTTTGTTGGTGAGAGGGGAAATTTACTTCTGTGTTTGTTTGGGATGGCACTCTCATACACAGAGACACACATACGGGTGTACGCTTTTTACTTCACACAATCGCATCCATATAAACAATCCGAGGCTAGGCAAAGATAGACATCCATGTGTTCAGCCATACATACCTACGCAGCTGTAATTCTCTTTCGGTGTCGAGAACATAACTTTTATTATATGTAGCGATGTTTTTTTTTCCCAGGGTCACAAACTCATATCCTTACAACTGAATATGTTAGCTATATCACCGATATTGAGCGCTTTCCACTAAAAGTACTGTTTTATATATTTTATTATATATATATATATATATATATATATATATATATATGTAGTCTAAGAGGAGAGTGCATGTACATATGTTCTTTGCTTTACGCATGCACGCGCACAAAAAGCACATATTTTTCTTCGAGTTGCGTGTTGAACACTTGATAGTTTTTTTCTTCCTTTTCTACTTCAGGGATACTTTCATAAATATACCGTTTAGAGAGAGAGAGAGTGAAGTCTGGTGCAAAGCTAGGGAATGGAAAAAGAAGAAAAAATATTGAGTCATCAGGAAAGAAAGAGTAACAAAAGGAAAATATCTTTGATGAGTGTAAAGGTGACATTGAAAAGAAATGGGGAATGACAGCCATTAGGAAAGAAAGAAAGAAATGGAGAAAAGGAAATCAAACTTGAATTCATTGAACAAAAGCAGTCGAACGGAAAACGTGAGAGGGAGAAACAAATGGAAAATGGTAGAAAGCAAAGAGTGAAGAAAATAACAAGCTGGATATTATATATAAAAATAACTGGATTAAACCAATAAAGAAAGCATAGTATATTATAGGTAACAAAATAATTGTATCAAGAAGAAAACGAAAGAAACTTCGAGAAAGAAGAAAAACGAGTAAACCTGACAGAAATTCAAAAATAAAGATCACCATTAAATACAGACAATAGAAAATATGATAATAATAAGAATTTTAAAAAAAAGACAGAAAAAGTAAGACATGGAAATGCAGAGAATTGGAAGAAAAATAACTTTCATAATCGAATTTCAATCGATAATGTTTATAGAAAGAGATTTGTGGCACCGGCTGCAGTTAGCTACCGATTCCATGTTAGAGAATGTTTAGAGTCTGCATATTCTGGTGCCAATTCCTGGATTTTACAGAATATGAGAAAAAGGAGAAAACAAAAAAAAAAACCCTACCTTGTTTATCTTTCTAGTGTGTGTGTTTTATTTAATAGGGTGCTGGGAACTTGGGCCTTTTTTATTCTCTCTCTTAAAACATGATTTATATTTTTGAGAAAAAAGAATGATATATTTCTGTTCAATTCCACCTCTCTGCAACTGTTCAAAAATATCGCTCACTGCAAAGAATTTCGATAAATGATGCAAGATGAAGTTATAGAGGGGTGTGTGTGTGTATGATTACTTTCCTGCATGCATCCATATATCTACACACAAACATATATATTTATATATATATATATATATAGGTGTGGGAGAATTTTCTGAAAGGAGAAGCAGATACATGCATGAGTCTTCGTAAAAAAAAAAGATTGCTTGCTAAGTTAGGCACAAGACCATGGGGAGTCGTTTGAATTGAAAATGAAAAATTGTGTTA